GTAGTGCTTTTTCACATGTGTTTTCTCAGCTAGAAAATCTACCCAGGAGTTTCCTGAGTGCCTGCCGCAACATAACCTGGTATTTTGGAGACTAGAAATGCCTGTGAACTCCTCAAATCGCTTCTTCCCACTGACCAAGTGCTTCTTTGAGATCCATCTGGTGTCAAGTGTAGGCATATGGCACCAGTATGGCAGTGCTGCCGACAAGGGTGGTTTCCTGCCAAGGAGACCTCGCTGAATGGTAGTCATTGCCTATTGAAAATCATTATTGTTTAGCACCCAGGTCTTTGTGAACTTGTTCAGCTGGTGGCTGGGCAGAGTGCCATCCGAATCGACGGACAGCAGCACAGACAGCTGCGCCTCGGGGGCCTTACGCACATCAGATGTGGGTGCTGAGGTCGGGCTCCTTGGCGAGGAGAATCCAAATGGCTGTCTGTCCCGAGCATCTGTATCTGTGGTCGAAGGGATATGCCATCATTCATCCAAATCTGGGCCGGATTAAGCTTCTAAAATACAAACCAGCTCCGCCAGCCACTTGAAGAGGGCTCGGGGGCTGTTTGAGCCGAGTGCCTCAGCAGGGAGGGAGGAGGGAGGCGGGAGGAGGCAGAGGCGGCTGAGCAAAGTAGTGCTTCTCTGCATGGGCTGGAACCACCTGCCAAAACAGGGGCCGGGGGTGCTGCCTTCGTCCCTCCGGCCGCCGGCCTCTCCGAGGGCTGGGCAGCACCTGTGTTTCCGAGGCCAGCCCTCTCTGCTGTGACAAGAGCACGGACATTTCATGCTTTGTTTCATTACATTCTCAGCGCAGTTCTTGGTGCTACAGCTGGGAACAGAAGCTTTAGCCCTTGAGGAGTGGAATTGCCCGTTTGCTGGACAAAAGTCTCAGTTTTGTCAGCCTGAGCCTGGCTCTCCCTTTTGCCTGGGCAGTGGTCCTACCTGGAGCTTGTTCAGTCTCGCTCAGCTGCCCCTGCCAGAGCTGCTCACTTCCACGGGCAGGCAAAGCATGGCATGCACAGGGGTGAGGCAGCAGCACCAGCATGGTGGCACCCACCAGAAAGCCATCACAAAGATAAAGGAGTAGAAAATCTGTGTGGAAGATCTCAAAGCCAGAAGTACCAGAAATACTTTAGCAGGGTTGCTGAGAAAGCTAAGGAAGACAGAGATAGCTAAATTGGACGAAGGGTAATGGCTTTAAACTGAAAGAGGGGAGATTTAGATTAGATGTAAGGAAGAAATTCTTCATGCTGAGGGTGGTGAAGCAGTGGAGCAGGTTGCCCAGAGAAATTGTGGATGCTCATCCCTGGAAGTGTCCAAGGCCAGGTTGGATGAAGCTTTGAGCAATGTAATGTAGTAGGTGTCCCTGCCCATGGCAGGGGAGTTGGAACTAGATGATCTCGAAGGTCCCTTCCAACCCAAACCATTCTATGATTCTAAATCCGGTAGAGTGTATTTGCACAGAGTGAGAAAACATCAGAGCATTAAGCTAAAGTGAATAATGAACTGATTCACTGCACAGAGCAATTCAGAGAAATGAAGGTGACTGAACACTGAGGGTTGCCTGGTTCTTGCAGGTCCCAAAGACATGCAGACACAGATGCTCTGTGTCACCCATAAAAAGATAATGCTGGGAACCTTTTATTCTAAATGCTGCTTTTAAACTGTGGACACTGAACTCCCTGTGGAAGCACCTTCTGACATGATCCCTCTTACATTTGTTTATGCGCTGTTGCCGTATGCTAGGAAACTAGCTGCTTCTGTCCTCTGCAACGGGTAACTGAACACCAACAGCAGATGAAATATGCCTGACTGAAAAACTGGGAAACTACCATTCTTACTGGAAAGTGCTGTGAGATTTCCCTAGGAAGGTGTGGTGGAAGTGCAAAGAGTGATACACTGTTATTTTAAAACCTGACCATGCTCTGGTTCCTCCCCTTTGAAGTCAGTGGCAAAACTCTGTTTTAGAGGAGCAAGACCGCTTGAATCGGCAAAGGAGAGGCAGCCTGGGGGCAGAAAAGACTTACAGGGAATGGTTTCTGCTGCACTCTGTGAACACAGAGCTGTTCAGACAGACTGGAGACCTGTCTGCTGCTCTCTCCCATTAAGGCTAAGAAATGAATGCTTTTAAAGTTGTTAAATGAATGGGCTGGATCTTACAGCCTTTACTCATCTGAGTACTGCCATTAACTTTAAGAAAATAATCACTTTATTAAGTGCTATGGAGTGGAGTCCTTAAATTGTTAAATTCTAATATTTGACAGAAGGTTTTCCTCAGTAGAAAAATAATATTGACATAATTAAAAGGATGTGAACATTTCATCAGTTGAAGAATGCAAGTTACTCTGGAGCAAGACGTAGAACTAGAAGCAGCACAGAGGGCTTAAGACCATGTCACGTCTGTAGGTTATTTTTGAACTTTATGAAAAACACACTTCAGCAGTTTATATCCTGACCATTCAACTGTATTCTGGGATTCTGAATTCAAGAACATGCTAACCATGAAAACACAACATTTAAAAATACACTGTCCACTTGGCTTCTTCACCCTGCTTCAGAGTCTCCCAAGTTTGTTTCGGACAAACTGAGAACTTTGTTGTGGAGTGACTGTTTGAATTGGGGTTTCTTAAAATACATGTGGAGCCTTGTAGCTGCTGCGGGGTGTACACAGCGGTGGAGCCGTACTATTTTAAAATCATCTGGCTATTTCACTTCATGTAAGAATATCTGTCAGCTTAGTTATGAGGAATGAGAGGGGTTGATTAAAACAACTCATGAAGCCATTAAACAAAGAGATAAAATGTAGAACATGTGCTGTAGAGTCGTTTTAATTATAATGTATAGGGGATCTGTGGAAACTGGATGGCAGCTGCGTTTTAGCTGTTTTAAGCCTCTCTCAGCAATACTGATGTCCTTTTACTCAGAGGTGCGTTTCCTTATCTGTAAAGCTAATAGATCCTTTGGAAATGGTGTTTGGAAGCTATGTTTTGCTGCTGTGATTGACCATAGTGTAATTACTATACTCTAGCACTTAGATAGATAGGGACTAAAATAGGCAATTATGCATACTAATCATCTAGTCATTAAATACTGGACTATATGACATCAGAGAAACATATGCAAAAGCTTTAGTCAAGAAGGGAAGGGATCAACGATGTCAAGTGAACAACCACAAGAATCCAGAGAGGATGGGGAATTAAAAAGGTAGTAGCATCTTATTTCATTGTCTTGGCGATCCTACCAGGTCAAAAAACCAGTATCACGTACATTGCTGTATGCTATAAGTATGTCTACTAAATTAATTTAGCATATAATCTGGATTTGAACAATAGATATCAGGCAGCTACATGAATTCAGTAAAAACTATTTAAATTTCACATTTTGCTTTCTTTCTATTAACCTAATTATAGACATCAAGAGTTAGCATAATTAATTCTAGCCCTATCAGAAGGGATTTTAAATCTCTGGTGTAAGGGTCCAAAGCATTTTCTAGCCGTTAGAAATCAGGATACGGAGCAGTAAGAAAAGACAACACATCTGCCCACATCAAAGTTTTTACAACTCTATCCACCCCTGCCAGAGACAGATTTGTCAGCTAGGTAGACATTGGGTCTAGTTCAATTTGGCAGCTTCTGTGTTCCCAATTCAACAGAGTTTACTTAAGTGTCTGCAATGCTTTTTATGCAACTGAAATATGGTAATTTAGTTAACCCTTGGTCATCAAGTAAAATGGGTTCACATGTAGGAACATCAACACTTCGAAATATCCAGTCGTTAAACTATAACAAAGATTTGTTACCAAAACTCATTGGAAACAGGCAGAAAATGAATTTTTAAGAATGCAACCACTCACAGTGAATTTAACTTTCTGACTGTAATTTAACTTTCTTTCTTTCTGTAACTGCCGCAGCAGTTCAAGTGTTGCTCTGTGGCTTGTAAGCATCACTAAAACTGCCCATAAAAAAAATGACATTTGCTTCTGTTTGCAAACTGTCTTTATTAGTATGTGAATTCTCCAGGAATTATATGAATGCTGTAACTTTCGTTTTCCAATTTGCATAAAACAAAGGCATAACATCCAGGACCAATTACACAAAAATGGGAAATAATTCCTTAGAAAGAGGATGGAGGACTTGAAGGAGTTACGGCTTGTTGCTCTTGGCTGTAGCTTGTTGGCACATGAAGGTTCTGGGGGTTGTTCCCTTGAGGACTTCAGATGTTGTATGTTATTTTAAAGAGACTGGAAGGCAGTAGTTGAGATAGATAACCATCTCCATACTGGCTTGTGGGGCACTCTACCACATAGCCAGGGCAACGGTTATACTAGTCTGACTCCTCAGCATCCCAGCTAAAAAAAAGTACAAAGGCAACCCAGCTGTCATTAAAATGATGAAAAACTCATTTCTGCTCAAACAGTGTAAGGGAAAGTGTGATTCCCTCTGCTATTAGAAGAGGACGTCTCTATAGCAGAGAAATCGGTCATTGATCCAACAATGACATGTGGCTTGTCAGCTGATGCTCTCAAGGCAGCACACCTTGAGGTACACTTTGGAGGACCTCTTACAAACTCACCTCAAATTGTTTGAGAGTTAAAAGCTAGAGGAGCAACAGGGGAAGAGCTTTACCCTATGGGAAACCATGGACCAGGATGCCAACCACTGTTTGACTGGCATCTTGTTACTTGAAGTTCTTGCTTTTGGAAATGAAATTAAGCATTTTCCCATCACTATCATGGAGACAGTATCTCAGATTTTTAGCATCATGCCAAGACTCACCCTATGGTACATACTTTCCTTAGGATCAATGGAACTACAGCTTTTAGGTTCAAAATTAGCTCTTTGCATGTGTCCTGTTGGCTTTATCAGAATTATTGGTGTGCAAGGAATATGAATAGAGCTCATACACTGATTTCTAGAATACAAAATGCTAATTACAACATGCTTCCTTAAGGAGAGAACTGAAAATGACTAACCATGTAACCCCTCTCTTGTCTACCTGTTTTACTCCAGTCCTCTGTGATGTCTGTCTGTTTTGCTCGCTTTCACCCAAACTTGGTCGTTGGTGGAACATACTCTGGCCAAATTGTCTTGTGGGATAATCGCAGTCACAGGCGGACTCCAGTTCAGAGAACTCCCTTATCTGCTGCTGCTCACACGGTAAGGATAAAAATTATCTCATCCTTTCCTTAGAGGAAATGGTCAGCAGGGAAGTGGAGCTGTCTAGTTGTGTCTACCATGCTAGCTGCCACACAGATGAAAAGAAAAGTATGGCCCTTGAAGGGAAGAAAATTGATAAGAGAAATGTACAACGACCTCTTGTAAGTGTTTAACTATCACACTTCATATGGTCAGGTCAGGAGATTATTTCCCTTTTCAAGGAAGAGGACAAGATCGGTTTCAACACTTGAGTGAGGCACCTTTGTGCCATCACAGTGGCACTGTGACTCTTGCTCTCTCTCCATTGCCTTTACAAGAGAGCCAGGTCACTGTGAGGTCTGTGTGTCTGTCAGGCCAGCATGGCAGGCAATTTCAGTCATTTACTGTGGTATTGCTGTACACGAGTTTGTTTTTTGTACCAAATTAGGCACCTCTGGTGGTCTCAATGGAGTCCTCTATGCAGACACTGGTGCCCCTGAAGAGTGTGAGGCACTTTGCTTGTTTCCAATAGAGAAATGCATAAATGTCTGTCACGATCTCCTACTCGAGGCAGGGCAGATGATACTTCAGATAGGGCAGAGCTCACACAGCGAGGAAGAGTCTGTTTCAACAGAATGCTGTGGAAAAGCATTTTGCTAACACGCAAAGATACCTGCAGATATAGTGATGGTGGCACAGGGCTCTGGTGATGTCTGAGAGATATACAGGCAGAGCAGTAACACAAAATGCCTGAGAGGGAAAAGAGTTCCTTTGTGATACAAAGATGATGTCTGTGGTGGAAGACTTGCTTACATTGCAAGGTACCCATACTGTGCTGGAGGAAGAGACAAGCCTGGATTGCCTGCTAAAGTGTCCTCAATTTGCAATGGTGCTGACCTCCAGTCCGTCCTGCACTAAGACGTTGCACATTCTTGAGCATTCCTCTTCCAGAGTTTGGGCTCAGGCAGCTTTTTCATATGAGCTGGAAGGTGTACTCTGTGGATGGTAAACATTCCTCTTCTTGGGAGTGGGTTTAGGACCATTCCCGAGTAGGAAATAGAATAGAAAATACAGGCTGAAAGGAGGAGAAAAATGTATAAGAATGCAGAAAAATGTAGATTTCCTGAAACATAAGAAGCTGAACTACAACAAAGCACTCTGAGAGATAAGATAATCTTGTTCTAGCAGAGCAAAGGATCAGACAAAGTGATAGGTCTTTTGCACTGCCAGCTTTTACAATTCTGCAATGCTTATCTTTGGAATGTGCAGATCAAGGTTCAGCTTTTAGTTGGCTGATGATATAATCTCTGGAGTTAAAAGACAACATCTAGAAGCCATGCCATGTGAAATAATGCAAAAGATTCAGCATCAGGGCAGTATTATGATGGCAAATCTATTAAAAAATGACAGGTGTGCAGACACGCTTAGCGGGCCAGGTAGTACAAATATTGTTCCCTAAATTTCCACTATCATGAATGTTCATGTAATAATCTAATGATCTGTGCCATGGGTTGCAACTTCAACATTGCTTTTCATTTCCCTAATGTTTTTGCTCATTTTGTCGCCAGTAATGTTGTTCAATCTGCATGAAAAGAAACAGTCTCTCTTGGAAGTGCAATTTAGAGATGTAGCAGACCAGAAAACTAGTGACAAGAAGCTGACTATCACTGAAAATTGAACAACTGGGACTCAAAATCTAGTGGAAAATAAAAGATTAATGGGAAGTAATTTGTTTACACTCCAAAAACCTTTAAGACAAAATTGTACCTCCTGGAATTGTATATTAAACTAGTTTTATTATTGCAATAGAACAATATGTGATGTTTTGCTTTTGACAAATATAAACAAATGACTTTCAGTTCTGGATGGGCACTTTATGTGCTGTCATGGATTGGTATAAATAAGTGTTTACACAGTCTAACATGAGGAAGCATGTTGTTTCTAAGCAGCAATCAGATTTTACAATGAAAGAGTGCTTGCTTTATGTTCTTATATAGGAATCACTTACATAAACTGTAAACAAAGTCTTGGATGCAAAAGGCTGGCTTGAATCCTCACTGCCAAGAAAAGAAAAAAGGATTAAATTAAGACAACTCTACTGTAGCAATGTTACTTTATGTACTGCTAGATACGTGAGTTGAACAGTAATTTTTTAATTGGAACTTATGCCATATGTGAAAAAAAGAATTTTATCTTTTCTTTCTCTCGCTTTGTTTATTTGAAACAGATAGAGGGTGTTGTTATCCCTGATTTAAACCTTCCTGAAGCTTAGTGTCACTGATTGCCGCCTGGATTCACCAGGAAAGAGATTTCTACCCACAGCTTACTCACTAATTTCCTTTCACACCCACCACACATCTGCACTTGGGACAACAGGAAATTTTAATTAAGACAAAACCCTTTTGCATGATGATTTCATTTCCAAAATAAATAAAAGCAAGCTGGCAGCGATCCTTTGAAAGGAAGGAGCCTGTTTAGACTTTCTGTTTTGTACAGTCGGTTGTCTTTTTCATCCATTTTCCTTATGTCTTTTCATTTCTGCCATGAGTTTTATTGCGCATGAAATTGATGGCTGGTAACCCTGATGAAAGCCAGACCTGGCATGCTGAGGTGCTGCTGGAACGGCGTGGCTCGCTCTCTCCCTTCCCCCGAAATATTCTAGATACTCTACTGCTTGCTTTAGCTTCCTCCTACCCACTCTGACCATGTCCACTTGGACTACTGGAGGTCAAACACCCATTAAAAAATAGGTCTATGCTTATTTCACACATCAGTATGTGCTAATCGTGTTTAGTACTGGAGTCATTAGCTCACCACTAAGCAGCAAGAAGGTCCATCATTTGAGGGTAATAATGTGAAACACATTAGGAACAGATTAGGGTCCATTTGATGATGGGGGAAACCAGGTGCCTGCCAGTCTTGAGAGAAAGAGAAAAATCAGCATCAGAATGGACCTTGTGACTTACTGGTGTGTACAGGTGTCCTCTGAGCACAAGGTACCATTCAGCAGCAATGGCTGAGTCCATCCTCAGTGTGTGTACACAGACGCTGTGCGTTCAGATTCTGCCCTTTTTGCACTGAGGGAGGGGGGCATTTACTGAGCCCCCTCAGATATCAAACCTGAGAGCTAGCCAGTGCTCTGAAGATTTCTGCCT